TTAAATTTGCTTCTACTTACGAAATTTTCTACCTACGAAATGGGTTGTAGAACGGATTAATTTCGTAAGTAGAGGTACCACTGTATTTAAAACTCTTGAGCTCCCTGGTGGAAGCTAACAGGATCTGCCCAATAATAAAATGAGCAATTTAAAAAAAAGCCTGGGAGGGTGATTGATGAGATTTCAGAATAATGTATAGCCTTCAAAATTGCCTTTGCTGACAATAGTCTTAAAAATAGACATGCAAAAATAAGTTGCTGTTAAGACGCTTGATGTTTCATGCATTTAGAATTTTCTACCAAAAAGCTCTAGTCTCTTACCAAACTATAGGATGTAGCCATAGCAGTTCAAATGGTAATGGACCCACTGTCAACTTGTGAGCCTAACCCCAGCCTACCAACTGTTTTCTTCCTAGGTTTCTCCAGAAGAACGCATCTCCTCTCTCAAACGCCTTGTGTCAGAAAAGCTGAATGTCCCAATATCCCAACAACGTCTGCTTTTCAAAGGCAAAGCTCTGGCTGGTGAGTACTGGTCATTAAACACTGGGCAGTTGAGGATAAATAGACAGCAAACAAAGTCGTCTAGGTTAGGAGGAAGAATAGTATTAATTTTAAAGTGTATAATTGGTTCCTTTCAGGAGGCAAAGTAAACTTCCTGGTTGCTGGCTACAGGAATCGTCATACTTATGGTTTCTTTTTTTAAATTTTTTTTAATGAAACTTTACCATTAAAACTAAAGATAAATACACACCAAATTAAGGGATTAATATGGGTTAATTGGATGTCAGTATGTTACTAACATAAACACAATAAACATACTAACCAGAGGCATTGCTTGCATTTGTGTCACCCGGTGTGTGTGGGGGAGCTAATTGCCTTGCCCCCTCTGCCCAGCCAGACCACGGCAGCCCCCTCCCCAGCCTCTGGAGTCCTGTGTGATTTTTGTCACGTGGGGCTCTGAAAGCTGCTTCTCCCCTCCAGAGTCCCATGCGGTGCTTGCTGTGTGGGGCTCCAGAGGCTGCTTCTTTACTCCGGTCTCCAAATGTCATGCGGTGGTCCAGAGGGCATTCCTCCAACCCCAGCCTCCCAAGTCCCACATGGTGCTCACCACACAGGGCTCCAAAGACTCCTCCACCCCTGCTGAGCAGGACCATGCACCAAGTGAACCATCTCACCAGCTGATACCCCCCTCTGGGGTTAGATAAAGTTTATCTTAACTTCCAATTCACAGGCTGTGATCTTAGCTGTTGACTAATACACAGTTTTTACCTTTAATTGATTTTAGTTTAAATATCAATCAGCTACTAAAACCTATTACCCTTGTATCCCCCTCCCTCTGTTTTACATATTCAGTAAATAATTTCAATTCTTTCAAGAGACCATTTATAGATTTTTCCCTATCAGATGCAACAATTTCTTCATCCCCACAGTTTCCATTTCCACATCACCATTCATCAATATTTGGAATTTTGGGACTCTTCCAATATTTTGCATAGACTAATCTAGCTGCCAGTACCACATACCAGACAATCTTTCCATGTTCCTCATCTATTTTTGTGTTTTGATCAAAATTTTTGAACAGAAGAAACTTAATGGTTTCTTTTAAGCTTCCCTGGTGCAGTTTACCCTGGGGAAAACTGCTTGACAAATCAGAGGACATATATCAGTCTTATAAAATTAGTAATACATATAGCTTGTTCTGTCTGTGCATATGGTAGCCTAAGAGGGAGGCTGTTGAGTTTGGGTGCCATGAAAGGGCAATGAGTTGTTAGCTATCTAGTACTGTATTTCTGTGGTCTGTTTAGTATGATTTGGTTCCTAATTCTAGTAAAAGACATTTGTGGAATTTTCTGCATCAGTTGCCAAAAAAAACTATTTAGTCTTGGCTACTTGATTGGGCGTGATGCTATGTGCTAGTTCAGGGGTAGGCAACCTTTCCCCTTTAAGGGCCAAGGGACTTCAGCTCCCAGAAGCCTCAGCCATGTTGGCCAATAGTCCCATGTTGGCCAATAGCTCCTGGGATTCTGGGAGCTGAAGTCCCTCGGCCCTTAAAGGGGAAAGGTTGCCTACCCCTGTGCTAGTTTGTTTCGGGCAGCAGAGTGTCTTGGGCCATCCTTGTGAGAAGACATCTGGAGACAGAAGTCGGTGGGACTTTTAAACAAAGGGTTATAAATGAGGGAGGCATGTTGTAAGTGGTGGGGATTGCTGATAGCTGAACTGTTGTATAGAACTCTGTAATTCCTGTATAAACATTTCCGAGAAATAGCAATCACAAAGCCAGTACATTTTAAAAAAATTAAAGAGAACATACCTGTAATAGTAGTGCATTTTTAATTGTTGCAGACCTATTTTTTTTTTTAAAAATACTACATGCAAATGAATCTTGATTATTTAATTTCACACCTCTAATGTCTGTCTCCCAAGTAACCCATCTTGGAGCATTGAAGGTGTGGGTTGCTTTTTTTTAGTTCTTTTTAATAAATTCATTTGTTCTTATTAGCTTTGAATTTGTGGGAAAGAATTTCATGGATCAGCAATGTCTTACATAATACGCAAGTAGTTTCCCGGTATTTGCTAGTATGTAGGCAGCCAGTGTGGTGTGGTGGTTTGAATGTTGGACTATGAGTCTCAACACCAGGATTCAAATCTCTCGGCCATGAAAACCAACTGGGCAAGTCACACCTTTCAGTCTCAGAGGTAGGCATGGGCAAAACCCTTCTGAACAAATCTTGCCAAGAATACCTAATGATAGTTTTGCCTTGGAGTCGCTGTAACTCAAAAACAACTTGAAAGTACACAACAAGAACAAGGTAGCTCTAATGTGTCACTCTGGGGGTTCATATTTTGTGATGGTAGATAATAAGTGGCTTTCATGAGCCAGAATACAGATACTCTTCATTTTATTTGGTGTATACATGTGTGTATAGCTGATCTAGCATCTCGAAATGTTGCCTTTGGAAGTACATATGCTTTCTACTGTTTAAATACAGAAGATGATGTTTCCAAGCTAGGGAACTGACCAGATGAACTCTTGGGCTTTCAGCAAAAAGAAAAAAGAAAAAAAAAGAGTTCTGTGCTATCTTAAAGGTGAAAACATTTATTATGATAGAAGGTTTCACTGAGTAGAGCCCACTTCATTAGATGCATGAAGTGTCATCCTAAATTTGCAGGTGAATTATTATGCTTCATTATTCTGGTGGACTGGACTTGATCTGCAAATCGTTTGCCATTATACATTTTTTGCAATTCCAGTAATAGGCTCATCTGGCTTGTTTTTCTTAATTGCCATCAAGCCAGATTCAGCTTACAGTGACCCACTGAATGAGAGATCTTCAAGATGACTTATTATTAATATCCCTGATCTGGACTTACATAGACTGAGGACAATGGCTTCCTTGATTCAGTCTATCTACCTGCAATGCACCCTTCCTCTTTTCTTATTGCCTTACACTTTACCAAGCCTTATAATATTTTCCAATGAATCATGTCATCCCATGATATGGCTTAGTTTGGTCATTTTGTCTTCTAGGGAGAGTTCAGGCTACTGCACTGGAAATAGTTACAGTCCAACCCCCATATCCATGGGGGATATGTTCCCAGACTTACTGCAGATAATGGCAAATAGTATATTTCTGCTGGAGGTTGACCTTAGAATCGTGTTACAGGACCTCCAGATGCCTAAAGAAATTCTTTTTTCTGGATGTGAATAAGTGAAACGGTTATTGATTCCGCAGAAATGAGGGTTGGACTGTGTTTATTTACTCCAGTAGGAAAGTGAAGCCTTCAGATCCATGTGAAAACCAGGCATAGTCTTGTGACCTTATGAATCTTCTTGGT